GGGCTCGGGAGACGGCGCGGGCCCTCCCTCAGCGCGGGACGTCGCGGTCCGGCCACCCGCCCCGGCCGTCGGGACCCGGAGACCGAGCGCGGACTGCGCGGGACGTGACCGCGCCGTTCGGTTTTTCCAGCCCCGGCCGCTGAGGAAGACGCTGACTGGGCGTCGGAGACATGAATTACGCGCGGTTCATCACGGCGGTGAGCGCGGCCAGGAAGCCTTCTCCCATCCGAGCCATGAGTGAGAACGGGGCCCCTTCTCCCCCGGGCCGGGCCCATCGGGTGCCGCTGGGTCGCGTTCGTTCATTCGTTCACCTGCGGGCCAGGCTGTGCGTGCAGCAATGGAAGAGGCACAGCCCTTGTCCTCAGAGGACGCGGGCTGGGACGGGACGCGGGTGTAGGGTCTTCCCGCCGGGTGGGGCCGGGGCCGGAGTGGAGAGAGGCCGGCGCTGCCGTGGGCGCGTCCTGCTGCCCGGAGAGGCTCTTCCTGGGGTCGGGGGGCACACAGTGTGCAGGTTCTGTGCGGAGTGGGAGGGCCGGGAAAGGGGAGGGGGGGGCAGCCCTGAGGCTCCGCGGACAGGTGGGCGCTACCTGGAGGAGAGTCACCTGCTGTGGTGGCCCTGGCTGGTCTCCTGACGTCAGAGACCAAGGTGCCAGCAGATTCTGTGTCTGGTTCTTACAGGCAGAGCCTTCTTGGTGCGCAGTCACAAAGCAGAAGAGGTCAAGGGTGCTCCCTGCAGTCTCTTTTGTAGGGGCACTAATCCCATGCAGGAGTGTGGAGCCCTCATGACCTGATCACCCCCTGAGGGACCCACTTCATACTATCACATGGGGTATTAGGTTCCAACATAGGAATTTTGAGGTGACACCAACATTTACATCGTAGCACATTCTATCACTAGAAATTGTTCAGCTTTATAGTTTTGTTGCCTATAATGCATACTTAACTACCTTTATAAAAACATTCGATGAAAGTGTTTCTTTTCTTCCATATTTTTTATAGCTGATCTATTGAGCAGGGCACCAAAATCAGTCATCTCCTTGGCTGCTGGATCACCAAATCCAAACCTGTTTCCCTTTAAGACAGCTGCCATCACCGTGGAAGGTGGAAAGACCATCCAGTTTGGGGAAGAGATGATGAAGAGAGCACTTCAATATTCTCCAAGTGCTGGGTAAGTGTCAATAGATAATTGTATTAGCTCATTTCCATGAGAAATATTCTAAGGCCCATTGATATGGTGACTTGTGTTTTTTGTTTGTTTGTTTGAGACAGAGTCTCACTTTATTGCCCATGCTAGAGTGAGTGCTGTGGCATCAGCCTTGCTCACAGCAACCTCACACTCCTGGGCTCAGGCCATCCTCCTGCCTCAGCCTCCCGAGTGGCTGGGACTACAAACATGCACCACCATGCCCGGCTAATATTTCATATATATATTAGTTGGCCAATTAATTTCTTTCTATTTTTAGTAGAGACGGGGTCTCACTCTTGCTCAGGCTAGTTTCTAACTCCTGACCTCGAGCAATCCGCCCTCCTTGGCCTCCCAGAGTGCTAGGATTACAGGCGTGAGCCACCGCACCCGGCCTGACTTGTGTATTTTTTAACTGAGTGTTCAATGGCTAGGAAGGTTTGGGGAAGAGGTTTCAAAGAATAAGAGCAAGAGGGATATTTAATGCTCCTCAGTGATTGCTTTTCAACCTTAAGTGACTGGGGAATCAGAGAAGGCTTCTGGAAGGAAGGACCATTTGAGCTGAGTCTGAAACAGTGAGGAGTCAGCTGGGTGGAGAAGCACATTGGGAGAAAAGAAATGGGTGACCCAGGAAGCAGAGATTTTAAGTCCCCAGGCAATTTTTAAATAATTATGTTCCCTTTCTAAACAAGCAGGTATACATATACATTGCTCTCATAGGCTCAAATGTCTTTAATTTCTCAAAGGCAAACTGAAACACAAACCTTTAGACTTTCTTTACCTTGTCTTCTAATAGTAGTGTATAGAGTCTATAAATTATACTTTATCAAAACGTTCCTTATTCCGAAATTGAAAAGTATATTGAAATGTTATTTGTATATAAATTATATAATATGTAATATGTACATAGGCTTCTCTTTCCATGATGTAAAGAATTTATTGAGCCTGAACTTCTAGGTAGCTGTAGAAATCTTCCTAGAAGGAACAAAGAATTGATTATGCAATGAATTCTCTAGTGTAAGACTTCAGAGTTGAAATAAAAAAAATAATAGATTCAAATCTCATTGATTAAATGATTGGCTTTATGAGAATCTCAGTCTGATTACCTTTATGTAAATTTCCTAATACCAGAAATCTATTGCTTATATTTTAAATGGGAATACTAACACTGGCAAAAAGCATTTGAGGATTTTTTAACTAAATGTATAAAGTAGTTGGTATAAAACTACCATTTATTTCCTGTCTACTCTTACTATGATTATTACTACTATAAATTTAAAAATGCATTTTTATGCTTTAGAATTCCAGAGCTTTTGTCCTGGCTAAAACAGTTACAAGTAAAATTGCATAATCCTCCCACCATCCACTATCCACCCAGTCAAGGACAAATGGACCTGTGTGTCACGACCGGCAGTCAAGAAGGTCTTTGTAAGGTAAGAAAGAAAGCCTATGTGTAGAATGAAATATGTTTGTAAATATAGTCATCCCTTGCTTAGCCACAGAAATCAAGTTTTGTGGATTACTGGTAGTCTTTCTTATCTTCACCTAGAATTGTGAACCGGGAATTCTAAGACAAGACATAGGAGGGGAGGAGTGTGTGTATGTGTTGGGGTACGGAGGTGTTGACTGTTCTTAAAACCCAGGTAGAAATACTTCAGGTTAATCTATCAGTTTTTCGCTCTAGTTTCCCTCATTGTGAACACAAGGACTTTCAAAATTTATCTGCTCTTAATATCACTCACCAGCCTGACTTTTTTTTTTATTTCAATACTCATTTCAGTACTGATTTTTCTTAAATCTGGAGCATGGTTTCTAAGACCCAGACCTATGAGTCACTAAAACAAGAGCCCCACTAAGGGAGTTCTCAACTCCTACCAGAAGCTTAGTGAGCACTGCTTAGTTTCATCTGGTTAAAGATACAGGTTACATTTGTTTTCTGCCTATAGTTATGAAATATCAATATAATTTTTAAATTCTTAAAGAGCGTCATAGATGGTAAAATACATCAGTAACTCCTTACTCATAGACATACTTGTTACAGAGCCCTTAGTAGGAATCTAATTTATTATTAATATTTCTTCCACTTTGTTCTCCAGTATGGATGTTATTTTAGGCTCCTGTGTTTCTGTCTTTATTGAATAGTGCTGCCAGTGATAGGCTGGTTGTTTTAGGGCAAACTGTAATTAGGTTTTCATTTGCTGTGTTGATAAGGCATATATCATCCTAGTGTTTTCTTTGGTGCTAGAATGTTCTGTAAAAACCAAATCAATTAGCTGTTTTACAGAGGAAGATACTATTTGTCATAAGATGTCAAAAGCTACTAAGGAAAAGGTAAATTGAACATCACCGGCCAAGCTAGGGGACAAAGTCAAATCTTTTATCTCAATTGATAATGACCCTACTGTTTGTTGTGAGATGTGGATTGTTAAAAAGATAAGAAGAAGAATTCAAACTAGGTGGAGATTGTAAACATGACTAGGTAAGAAAGGATTTTTCTGTGACTTACATACAATTTAGTAATAATTTAAACTGGAAAAATCTATTGCCTACCTCTGAGGGTATCAGTAGGCATCATATTGTCCACACAATCTCCTAAAATTTGTCAAACCTTCTCTAAACCTCCAAATATCCTTGAACACTGTTGACCTCCCCACCCTTTTTGAAGCACTCTCCTCCTCTGGCTCTCAGCACCATGCTGGCTGGCTCTCCTCCAGCTCACTGCCTGCCTGCCTCGCAGTGTCCTCTGCCCAGCCAATATTTACTGGAGTTCCTACGGCCCAGGCCTTGAGCATCCTGAATCTGTACACTTTCCCTGGGTACCTCCTTTCTCACTCATGTGGTCAGCCATGTGCTTGTGCCTTCCACGCTCCTTCCAGATATGTTTGTCCATCTGACCACCTGACACCACCACAGGATGTTTCAGGGCCCCTCACACAAAACAGCTCGTCATCATCTCGCTCAGATGTGGACTTTCTGTTTCTGAATTTCAGTGAATGGCGGTGGTGCCTCAAACTCTGTCTAGTTCAGTAACCAGAAATCCAGGCATCACTCCTGACACCTGCTCTTCCTCACTCCTCTGTAGTCCCTAATCATGTTCTGTTGGTTTTCATTTCCTGAATACCTCCCCGTTCTTCTCTAAAACTCCACCATCACAGCTCTTGTTCAGATGCCCCTTATCAAATGTCCCCAGACTGTGGCCAATAACTTGCAAACGTCCATGTGTAATTTTGCCCTTTTTTATCTTTCGTACTGCAGCCAGATTGATATTTCAAAATGCATGTCTGATAATGTAACCCCCACTCTCTCCTTCTTAAAACTCTAACTCGCCACCCTTGGCTTCAGGGTCCCCTGTCATGGTCTCTGCCCTCTTCTGTCTGACTCTCCACTGTCCTCTTTACACTCCGCCTCAAGCCACAGATTCTTTAGGTGAAAGAATGAACCATCGTCACCATTACACCAAGGCATGGCTTCTCAGGGAAGCCCTCCTGAATCCTGAATCCCACGTCTTCCTACAGTGAGCTCGCATAGCCTTGTTTGTCTACCTTTATAATAGCACTCGTCACTGTTTTAATTACACGTTTATTAGATAGTTATTTGATTTGTGTCTAGCTCTCACTCGGACTGGTAGCTCCATCAGAGTACGAACAGTATCATTTTGCTCATCATTTTATTTCTAGTACCTTATACAAACTGGCTTATAGTAGATATTTAAGCCGCAACAAAAGAAATAAATGAATTTTAGGAGCCAGTTATGTTCTTTTTCTCCTTACTGAAAACCAGGGGTCTTAAAACTATGGCTGGAGCCAATACAGCTCGTCTTATTTTGTAAATAAGTTTTATTAGAACCCAGTGACACCCATTCATTAATATATTGTCTGCAGCTGCTTTTCTCAGCGTAGAGGCAGAGATGAGTAGTTGCAACAGACAAATATGGCTTACAAAATATTTCTATTGGCCCTTTACTGAAATTTGCCAACTATTCTAGATCATATGAACTCACAATATAAAAGAGTTCGAGCATGAAACAGTAATACTTAGTTTACTAACAAGTGACTCTGGCTTTTTGTTAGGTATTTGAATGATCATTAACCTGGAGATAATATCCTCGTTAAATGAACCTGTTTATGCAGGAACACTTCAAGCTGTGAGTATCATTTTTATAAAGGCATCTTAATAAAAATAGGAAGAAATCGTGTACCTTTAATTATCACTGAAATAATAGGTATCTTTCATCTGTAATAGAGAATCTTAAATGATATATGTAATATGTGAACTATACTTCTGCTTTACATTCTTTTTTTTTTTTTTGAGACAGAGTCTCACTTTGTCACCCAGGCTAGAGTGAGTGCCATGGCATCAGCCTAGCTCACAGCAACCTCAAACTCCTGGGCTCAGGCGATCCTCCTGTCTCAGCCTCCAAGTAGCTGGACTACAGGCATGCGCCACCATGCCCGGCTAATTTTTTGTATATATATTTTTAGTTGTCCAATTAATTTCTTTCTATTTTTAGTAGAGACGGAGTCTTGCTCAGGCTGGTTTTGAACTCCTGACCTCGAGCAATCCGCCTGTCTCAGCCTTCCAGAGTGCTAGGATTACAGGCGTGAGCCACCTCGCCCGCGACATTTCTTTTTTAATATGCAAATGTGGCGGGGCGCTGTGGCTCATGCCTATAATCCTAGCTCTCTGGGAGGCCGAGGCAGGCGGATCATTTGAGTTCAGGAGTTGGAAACCAGCCTGAGCAAGAGTGAGACCCCATCTCTACTATAAATAGAAGAAATTAATTGGCAACTATATATATATAGAAAATTAGCCGGCATGTGGCGCATGCTGTAGTCCCGCTACTCGGGAGCTGAGGCAGCAGGATCATTGACCCAGGAGTTGAGTGAGTTGCTGTGAGCTAGGTTGACATCACGGCACTCACTCTAGCCTGGGCAACAAAGTGAGACTCTGTCTCAAAATAAAAAAATATGCAAATTATAGCACTAAATTAGGTTGGCAAAATCCTGTCCATCTCTCATATTTATTAAATGTAACTTAAATTCCAAAACCGTTTTTCTATTATCATTTCATTATCATATGCCTAAGAATAACCCTGTTTTATGTCATTTAATATAACTCTAAAAGTAATGTTGTATGATGAGACGTTCCACTCCAGTGTTAAATCGATGGTCTATAATTCAGAACGAGGAAGCTGATCATCCTGTCCTGCTGTGCTCTGCTCAGAACTCACCCCTGAGGATTATGTTTGTCTGGACACCTGCTTCAGAATAGAAGTGTCCACAAACTAGGCACGTTCAGAGACTTGTAGTCAGAGTGAACAGGGAATTGGAAACCACACCATGTGAAGAATGGTTATATGAACTGTAGCTGTTTTCCCCAAATAGAAAAGACTCAGCAAGGCATGAGAAGTGTCCTCAAATATAGAAAAGTTAGCCATGTGACAGAAGAATTAGATTATTTGTACATGACCTTAGGTTGATGAACTGGAATCCCGATAAACAGTTTCAACTCATATAAAAACTTTCTAACCCTTGATGTTACTGGCTTTGTAAGGAGGCAAAGCATGGCCATCACTGCAGGTGCTCAGAGTTACTTACTCCTGATTGCCACTTAATACAAATACTGTATAAGGTAGTTCTAGCTTGGATAGGGGAATTGAATGAGGTGGCCTTTGTGCTCTACTGTTCTACTTCATGGATCTTTTTTATTCCAAGTTTTATGTTATTTTTAGTCAATTTAGAAGCAAGATACAAGCAATCCAGTTATAATAGCTCCAGAAGAATAAAATAGATAAAATTTAACAAGGAGGCGAAAGACTGTATGTTAACTCAAAGCTTGCTGAAGAAGAAATTAAAGAAGACCCAAATGAATGGAGAGACATGCCCTGTTGATGGATTGGAAGACTGAATATTGCTAAGATGTCAGTTCTACCCTAATCAATCTATAGATTTAATTTAATTGTATAGATCTATCAAAATTCCAGCAGCCTTTTTTTTTTTTTGCAGAAATATAAAAGCTAATCCTGGCTGGGTGTAGTGGCTCACGCCTGTAATCCTAACACTCTGGGAGGCTGAGGCAGGCGGATTGCTCGAGGTCAGAAGTTCGAAAGCAGCCAGAGCAAGACCCCATCTGTACCAAAAATGAAAGAAATTAATTGACCAACTAAAAATATATATACAAAAAAAAATTAGTCGGGCATGGTGGCGCATGCCTCTATAGCTATTTGGGAGGCTGAGGCAGTAAGATCGCTTGAGCCCAGGAGATTGAGGTTGCTGTGAGCTAGGCTGAAGCCACGGCACTCACTCTAGCCTGGGGAACAGAGGTGAGAGACTGTCTCAAAAAAAAAAAAAGAAAAGAAAAGCTAATCCTAAATTCATATCAGAATTTAAGGATCCCAATAGCCAAAACAATCTTGAAAAAGAACAAATTTGGAGGACTCAATTTCAATTTTAAAGGCTACTGTAAAGCTATGGTAATCAAAATAGTGTGGTACTGGCATAAGGATAGACATATAGAGCAATGGAGTAGAATTGAGAGTCCAGAAATAAACCCATAAATGCAATTGATTTCAATAACGGTGCCAAGTCCATTCAGTGGGGAAGAATAGTCTCTTCAACACATAGTGCTGGGACAACTGGATTTCCACATGCAAAAGAGAGAAATGAGACTGTTAACTCACACCATATAAAAATTTAATTCTGAATGAATTCAAAACCTAAATGTAAGAGCTAAAATTATAAATACCTAGGAGAAAATGTAAGGGCAAATCTTCATTACTTCGAATTTGGTAGTGGATTCTTTTAGATATAAGAATGAAAAACACGAGCAACAACAGAAAATAGGTAATTTGATTTCAAAATTAAAACTGGTACAGCCACATGTACTCACCAGCAAATTGGTATTAACGGATCAACACTTAAGTGGACATATAGGAATAACATTTATCGGGTGTCGGGCGAGTGGGAGAGGGGAGAGGGGCATGGGCAATATACATAACCTTAACATTTGTACCCCCATAATATGCTGAAATAAAAAAAATAAAAACTTTGGTACATCAAAAGAGATATTATGAAGAAACAGCCTATAGCATAGGAGAAAATATTGGCAAATCATGTATCTGATAAAAGTTTAATATGAATATATAAAGAACTCCTACAACTCAACAACAAAAAGACAACCCAATTAAAAAAAACAAAAATGATACAAATACATGTTACTCCAAAGAAGCTATGCAAATTGCCTAGAAGCACATGAAAAGATGCTCAACATCATTAGTCATTAGAAAAATGTGATCAACGTAAGAAAGCTGTATGTGCAGTCTGATTATTTTGAAGACTGAGGCTTGGATGAAAATGTGTTTTTAAAGTTTAAGAAATCCAAATCAAGACCACACCAAAATAATACTTCCCACCTGCTACTATGGCTATCAAAAAAAAGAAAAAGAAAAACCGCAAACACTGGTGAATATGTGATGAAATTGGAACCCTCCTAGCTGCCTGATAGAAATGTAAAATGGTACACTTACTGTGGAAAACAGTTTGTCAATTTCTCAGAAAGTTAAACATAGAATTACTATACGGCCTACAATTCTACTCCTAGGTATATACTGAAAACGAACTGAAAACTGGGACTCACACAGGCACTTGTATGCAAACGTTCATTGTGGCATTATTCACAGTAGCCAAAAGGTGGAAGCAACCCAAGTGTCCATCAGTAGATGAATGGTTAACTGAAATTTGGCATGTTCATACAATGACATTGAGCCAGCAAAAGGAACAGAGATCTGATACATGTTACAAGGTGAATGAACCTTGAAAACGTCATTTTAACTGAAAGACGTCAGACACAAAAGGACAAATATTGTATTATTCCACTTATATCAAATATCTAGAATAGACAAATTTATAGAGACAGAAAGTAGATTAGAGGTCACCAGGGACTGTGGAGAGTGGAAAATGGAGAGTTACTACTTAATGGGTACAGAGTGTCTGTTTGGGGTGATGAAAAAATTTGGAAATAGAGGTGATGGGTGCACATACACACTGTGAATGTAATTAATGCCCCTGCATTATACTCTTAAAAATGCTTAAAATGGCAAAATTTTTTCTTATATACATATTTACTACAATAAAAATATAAATGCTTTTTCTTGATTGGATACTAATTATTTATTTTCCTAAACTCCTAAGATTGAAAATTACAAACTGCCTATAAATTTCCAACTTGGGATCTTCAAAAATGCATGCATACATCCATCCACAAATGTTTTCATGTGCCCAAACAGAAACTGTATGCCAAGCTATGAGGAAATATGCCAGTAAGAAATACCTGTTTATGTTATGGCCCAATATTGATTTGTTTTGTCCATGATCCACATGCTTCATAAGTCTAGGACCTTTTAAATTTGTCATAAGTAGGGTCTGGATTATTCGCACTTTATGCATAATTCTACATTTGACTGCTAAAAGAGTGTTTGCTTTTTATTTGAAATTTTTTCGTGAGAACTTCACTTTTTGTAATTTTTTTCTTTAATGTTCATATATGAATGAGATTCCACAACATTTTTATAAAACTATGTCCATAAGTAATGCCAGTGGGTGCCTGTCTGCCTTAGCAGTTGGTCAAATATTGAAATACTTCTGTCCTGCTTGGCCAGCTGCCCATCCCCTTCATTGTCCCACCACCACCCTGCTTCTCTGCCCCCACTCCTAGGACCACCCTGAACCTCCCATAATCCAGAGTAAGGCTGGCATAGCAGGGGGCTTCAAGGACCCTGATCCAGCCTGCGTCCCTATCTGATGGGTCCATGCTGTACCACTTGCTAAATATTTTTAATATCACCCCTGCTTGTATATTTTATATATTAGTATGACAGATGCATCATGTGGTTCATTAATTCTGTCAAAAGACATTCATTAATAGACACTTGCTTTATGAACCCATTCTTACTGCAATTATAAAGAGAATTCAGTCAGGACAGGCTAGTGCATGCTGTGTAACAAATGACTCCAGTACACCCCTTCGTTTGTAACTCACAGCTGCAAAGGTTATTTCTCCCACACTGCACATCCACAAGACGGCTGCAGCTCCATCCCATGGCATCTTCTGGTGACAGAAGCAGCCCCTGTCTGGAGCCTTGCCCATCTTAGAGCAGAGGGAGAAGAGAGAGGACCACAGCTGGATGTTAAGGCTTCTGCTTGGGAAGGACACATGTCACACTAATGCCCAGAATGTGTTGGCCAGAGCCAGACGCACGGCCAAGCCTGACATAACTGGGGCAAGGAGGTGTCGTCCTTCCTCTGGTTTAGGCATAGGTTAAGAGAAATTAAAGAATCATGTTCTGAAAGTTGAGATTTACATAAACAGAAATCTAAAAATACAGAATACCATGTTGATTAGAATGAGCAGGGAGAGAAAAGCCAATACTGATCAAGTACTAGTGCCTTTCATTCAAAGTACCAGGCCCACTCTCTCTGCGCCATGAAGTCGAGCCACTCACTAAGGACAACGGACTTATCATCTCTCTTCTGTCGGATCCCAGAGCCACAGTCTGACCAGCAGTACAAAACACTGCCCTCACACAACCAAGCCCCCTGGAATCAAGAATGTGATTTTCTTCCTTGACACTCAGTTTTGTTCCCCATCTCCCTCCTCTGCTCCCAAACTGCGCGAGGCCTTTCCCTCCTACCCTTGCTGTTGGGAAACTCTCATCTCCATTCAGCCTCTTGGCACTTGCCTCATCCTCACACCTCACGAGAGCCTAAGTCCATCAAACAACGCTAGGTACAAAGTCAAATCTTTTATCTCAATTGATAATCGACCCAGCTCTCAGGAAGTCCACCAGGTGGTGTTCATACTACTGTGTAGTCTATTAATCTTTAATCCTCTGAGACACGTTTCGTGTCCATCCATACAGTCCATATCGATAACGAAGACCAATAGATTGTCAACAATCACAACACGTTGCCTGTACATCATGGTATTATCCCACTACAAGACCTCACAGACACTACCTAGTAGAAACGCTGATTTTATTCGGCTGACTTCTATCTTTCCACGAGATGTTCTAGATAATGTTAATACTTTTCATAGATGCATCTTGAAACCAAGACCCTTTGTCATTCTAGCCCATATGGTTGGCATAAATACGATATACCTTATTTGCTATTACCAATGACTAAATCACTCATTGAGTTGAATGTAATTCATTAAGTTGTCGATAACCCATATTTATAATGCATGTCAACTGTGCACACAATCTCCTGCATCAAGGTACATCCTCCGCTGCTATTCTGAGCTGAGTCAATTACTCTATGATTCTATACTAAAATTCCTTATTTATAGGTGGTGGTGTAATTCTAACATTATCGCGTATGAACACCATGTAAATATATGAGACTTAAAACTTAACAGACACACCCGTAACAGAACCCAACTTATGTTCTGATAAGCACTCTTCCTCCTCTTGGCTCTCAGCACCGAGAACGTATTCGTGCTATGGGACCCTCATTGGATTGCTATAGCTTGCTCTCCGTCAACCACAGCTTGCACATGCCAGCCGCCACAGCCAGATTTCGCAATGATCTCTTCTTGCAGGCAAAGCCAAGTATTTTATACCCTATATGCGAGTTCTGAGCGGAGCCAGGCTTTGGAGCACATTCCTTCTATGCACCCTGGCACATCAATACGGCAAACTGATACATTGGCACCCCCACTTTCCCTGGGTACTCCTTCTCACCTCATGTGGTCGCCATGTGCTTTGTGCTTCCACGTCTTTCCAAGATATTTGTCATCTGACCACCTGACACCGACACAGATGTTTCAGGGCGCCTCACACAAAATCAGCTCGTCATCATCTCGCTCAGATGTGGCTTTCTGTATTTCTTGAATTTCAGTGAATGGCGGTGGTGCCCAAACTCTGTCAGTTCAGTAACCAGAATATCCAGGCATACTCCTGACACTGCTCTTCTCGACATCCTCCTGTAGTCCTAATGCATGTTCGTGTTTGGTTTCATTCCTGAATACCTTCCCCGTTCCTTCCTAAAACTCCCACCATCAGCAGCTTTGTTCAGATGCCCCTTATCAACAATCCAGACGTGGCAATGAATGCCAAACGTCCATGTGTACATTTGCCTTCTTTTATTCTTCGTACTGCAGCCAGAATGATATTTCGAAAGCATGTCTTGATAATGTAACCCGCCACTCCCTCTCCTTCTAAAACTCTAATCGCCACCCTGCTCAGGGTGCCCTGTCCATGGCTCCGTGCCCTCT